GCTCAGGCTTATACAGAATAGGAGTGGGGACAGTGCATCTCCTTGGTAGATCCAGCATTTGATGGCAACTCGTGCTATGGGCTTGAAGATGGCTTCTAGTGTTGTATGTCACAAGTTCCTGATGAAGGCTCTGAGGGTCAGCCTAGCCTTGCAGTCTCAGGCCACTGCTCTGTTTACCAGTACTCCTTCACTCCTTTGGTATTCCTCCCAATTCCTTTCTGTGCCTTGCTCGGGTATCAAAAAATCCATAGGTTGCACATCCTCTTCAAGTAACCCCTTCTGCTGGGGTTACTTGTGTAGTAGCATTCCAACAATGCCTTGTGTTTATCTCTTGCCCACTTGTGCCTTCATGTTCCAGCAGCACACTTCTCATTAGTGTGTCCTGGTTCGTCAACACCTGACCTAACCTTTTGAATCCAGGCAAGTCCGAGTCGGTATGTCTTCGTTTGTATGTGAAGTATGATTTATTAGCATAGAGGGTGTAGCCTAGGGACCCTTTCTGAATACAGACACCCCCAACCTGAAGATCCAAAGGTGTGCTTTGGGTAGATAATTACTGTCTATTTATTATAATAAAACCTTTTTACTGTCAGTATGTGACACCATCAACAGAATCATTTAAATCAACAGTGTTATTAATACAATGCTGTTATTACAGTCTTACTATAATGTTAATTGACTGTTAATTTATTTGTTTCACATGCATAGAAATTAATTAATTAAAAGCATGAACTGGATAATGTTAAATAGTCAGATAACTGTAAAAATTAAATGACCTTTTCCTTTAGAGATCTTGAAAACAGACCATTAGAATAAAGTATAGGATACATAAAGCGTTTTTATACAGTAGAGATATCAGGTTCAGAATCACTAAAAGGAAACAGGCTTGTGTTTTATATTTTTGTGAATACCTGTGTGTGTTTATTGAAGTGCTTGGATGCCCAGTTCTCAATGTCGGTCTCCGAGGACGGCTTCCTCAGGGTGAACTCTGGGAAAATGCCACAGCTGGCGCTAGGCATCATATTCCTTGCATTTCGACTGGCTTCAAATTGGGCACAAGCTCCGAGGTCCTCTGACTTAAATTTCGACAAACAGAGAGGGAGTGAGGAAACAGACAATTAATCTTGTGCCGCAAAACATGTATAAAGTTTCTTTAGCACTTATTAACACTCAGGTAGCAAATTCAAGACTGACATTTTAATTTGTCAATATTGGCAAGGTTAATTCAGAGCAAAGTCCAGTCATTCTTTAGAAATAACAGCTTTGAACAAAAGAAAGATATTCAAAGGCATCATAGGTGTAAGAACCACTATGATTATGTTTGTTTGTATATCAATTAAAAAAAATTATATGGGTGTGGCATTAGAATTAAAGCAGGAAATTGATAAGGTTATCCAACTAAAACTAATCGCGGAATCTAATATTATGTTCTCTGAAATGTAAAAACATTGAAATAAACTTTTCTTCAAAAAAATGCAAAGAATTAAATAAAATATACAGTACTGTATCAAAGTTCAGTATTGAATATACATATTATAAGTTATATACAAAGTGCCTCTGAATGGCCTGAATGTGTGTTTGAAGCCAATTCTAAATTCCAAAGTAATTAAGCAATAAACAATTAAACGACAGAATGTTTTCAGTTTCTACTATAAACACGTCAGTTTTTTCTTACACATTTGCAAACTGTGCTTTCAACAATTAAAAAGCATGTTTTAAGGAGAAATATTCATGACTAACTGGCTTTTGAAGGAACAGGAGTCAGATGTAGTTTATAGTGCTTTACTATCTTAGTCCTGCAATAGTATAAAATTAAATTGGAGAACACTAAGAATTTTATCAATAAAGATACAGTAAAGCACCTTACTTTAAATAAAGATACACTACAAATAATCTAAATACAGATAGTTTAAAAAAATACAGTAACTGTAAAATATAGACAATATAGCAAATTGGTTATTGTAAATTCTAAAATAACGTCCTGCTGCCAGGAATTTGCTGTTGAATTTACAGCAAAGCTCATTTAAATTCACAGTGGTTGCTATAATTACCAATTAAATTTACAGTAAATTTACTGTTAATAAAATTTACTGTAGCTTTACTGTAAATAAAATTATAGCAAACTGCAGTAAAATCCAGTTACAGCAATTTTATTGTAAATCGAATTACGAGGATGTAAAAAGTGTTTACAGTAAAGTTAATTGCACTTTTTACAGGAAATGATCACGCAGCTCCAGCTGCCATTAAATTTCTTTAAAATGTACGTGTGTCTGTCCTTATCCACTTAAGTCGGACAGAGGGGCGAGAGGGATTTTCACCTACCTGAGGCGCGCTCCTGTGCAGTCCGTCAAGATCTTGGTTGTTTCTCAATATGCATACTTGTGTATACCTGCATTCTTGTGGACTTGTGAAATGTCATCAGTTGCAGCCCAACTCCAATTCAATTCAAGTCATGCAGGCTTAAAACATCCAGATGTTCTCACTTTGCCCATTCTGCTGAGCATGCACTGGGGGTGACCTTTGTGTGCTTGGTGCAGCCAAGTTTTTCAGAATGCATTTCATCCAAAATCAAAAGCGGCAATGACAGATGACGGCTGAAACTGTAAGGTTTGAAATATTATGGTATTAACAAGACAGTTCTAACATCTGACATGTTTGTTTCTGTTCAATATGCAGACTGAACTGTGCATGTCTAATGTTTTTATTAAGAGAGATGAAGTTTGTGTTTCAGTGATGTAATGACTGTGCCCGGAGGCATCCTTGTCAGATCCCCGACCCACCTCATTCAGCTCCTTTCAATGTGATGGCTCTACTCTGAGCCCCTCCCGGATGACCAAACTCCTCACCCTATTTCTTAAGGGAGAGGTCAGACACCCTTTGGAGAAAGCTTATTTCTGCTGCTTGTTTCTGCAATTTTATTCTTTTGGAGAGCCCACGGAAAAAGACTTTTGGACTGCCTCAAAGAAATTCTGGCATACTGTCAGGCGACTCAGGACGGGAAAACAATGCTCTACCTACACTGTGTATAGTGCGGGTGACTTGCTGCTGACTTCGACTAAGGATATTGTCAAGCGTAGAAGGAATAATTCGAAGTTAACATTCGGTTTCAAGAAAAAAGTCAAAATATGGACGTTATGTGTAGGCTGCTCTAGAAAATGCCTTATGTAGATGAGTTAGTGGAAGAAATTGATCAGCCATCTTACTGTCTTGTGATAAAACATACATCCTTTTCATTTAAAAAGTGTAACCATCGGTATCCCTGCATCTGTCCACTGCCAGCAACTTCATTTTATACAAATCAGGCCAACTCTTACATTTTTGTGCTTTTTGCTTCTGACCTGACGCAGCTTTCTGCACCATCCTTTCAACATCCTTATACTTATCACCACACTGTGTTTGCTAAAAAAGGAAATAATTTCCTTTCTTGCAACGAAAAGTACGATTTTACTAACTTATCTACACAAGGCATTTTAAAGGGGGTATATGGTTGTTCCAAGAAAGACTGCCTTGAAACAATGGTAACCTCCACATTTAAACTTTTTTCATAAAATAGTATTTTAACTTTACTCTCAAAATGATCAATACATTTTTTTTCTTAATATGGCCCTAATACTCATTTGTCAGCGTAGACACTATGAAGCAGATCAGTAAATCTCTGAATGTTAGAAGACAACGGCCATGAACACGAAAGGCGAGCAGATGTTCTGTACATCTAAAAAAAGGATTTATATAATAGTAATCAGCATCTCTAGATAATGTAGTTTATATGGCGCGTGTATGCATGTAATGAATAAATCAGTCCAGTTTTTACTGCGTCTTTTTTAATCAATTTTACATCAATGATCCTGTTATAGCCAAACATTTTGTCAAAGTGCTTAAAAACACAAATAATCTAGTTTAATTCTAAGGATATTGAGTAATTTCTGTTGTAAATATTAATCAATGAAATTGGAAGGGAATGACAGTAAAAACACACTTGAGCTGAGATGTGATGTTATCAACTGCACTGCCTCCATTTGTAGAATGATTGTGCTGGATTCTCTGTTCTCAGGAAGTCCACACAAGCAAGAACAAGTACTAACTTGTGTTCTTGGGTATTGAGAAACAGCTCCTGACTTTCTGTAGATTTTTCACCTGGAAAACGTAAAGGTCAAATCACATCTTTAACAAACTCCAACATGAGGGGAAAAAGCTGCTCCTATCAGCAGCCATTTGTTTTACAAAGTAAAGGTTGTGATGCTGATCGTAGGAACAGACAGTGCTGTTTTGGACACTAGAAAGAAGTTTACTTTTATTCCACCTGAGCTCAGTAACGCCTCTACCTCTTGCCACAATTGCACTGTGTAATTAACCTGCTCACTTCCACGCATAACAAAGTCTGCAAAAAGGCTTCTAGACTCACCTTTTATCAAGGTGTCATGCATCTTTTGTATAAGAAGGGCTGCCTGATGACTCCCTGGTTGATAATTATACACATCTGGCCAATATGAATACAATCTATAAAATTCTAATCATATGATTTGCTGCTTACTCGTAAAGATTGAGGAAGACCTTCGTTCTACACCTGGTCACTAAGCTAATGGCAATTACCCAAATGTTCATGTGCTTTTGATTTAATGACCTCGACTCACCTCTACAATTCATCCAGAAATCTCGTGCAGAGTTTTCGTGTGGAGAAACCCTCTGTAGACCTTTCTGAACTGGAGTCCAGGAATCACTATCTAGATTTTTATTTTTGTCACAACTTGTTTTTGCCTCATTTTTAAACAAGCAAAATAACTTTATTTTTCCTCAGTTAATCAGTAATATTTCCAAAGCAATTGACAGGACACAAGAGGTGGAAAAGAGAGGGGGCCAGGGTAGAGTTGCTGGAGACAAGTGTCAGGAGTTATTTGTGGCAAAAGGATAGCAGCAAGAGTGAAGGTTGAAAGGTTTACAAGATGGTACCTGAGGCTTGTGTCTATTTGTGGACATTAGGTTTGAGATAAACAGTCTTTGCAGTCTGTACAGCCTCTTGGTAAACAGAGAGACAGTCCCTAAGTATGTAAGGAAACATACAGCTCATCCTTCTTCCATCTTCTCTCAACGCGTCTGCAATCATGTCTGAGCCTCTGCATATGTTCATTCAATCACTGCTCTGACAAAGGCTTAGAGCACATCCTTTCTAGAAGAATGTTAAGACCTGCAGCAGGGGACTGAAAATGAGGCACTAAAACCTCTTTTTTTATATGAGAAACAGAAAAGTCATTGGGCCTGCCTGGTCACGATCTAGTGTTATCCTTACTGTGCTTTTATTATGGGCATTATACTTTAACAGGCTTCTCTTCTTAAGCTCAAGCTCATCATCAGCTGCCTGTAGTATCAGTCCAGTTTTTTGCTAATACCTCAGTTTGGTGATAACACTGCTGATGTCCACCAAATAAAAGTAACATGATTAATAAAGAAATGTGACTAGCATGTGTCTCTATATGTTTTCCTGTTTTCCTGTCAGCGACCATGATTCATCACGACTGAACTAGGGTGTACTACAAAGCCAGCACACCCTAGCTGAAAGCCAGTTTTCCGTGTGGATCTTTTTACTTGTAACTTGTGCTGAGCCCTTAACCTGGTCGGGGGTGGTTTGTGTTTACTTTTAGTTTAAAAATCATCTGGAAGCGCCACATTTTCACCGATTCTTTTATTTTAAGCATGCAGTGTGCAGTGCATCATCATAATTTTTTTAATCATCTGGTAACATCTTTGACTGAAGTGGGGATCGTTTTGTGTTTTACTAAGGAACAGCTTGGCTTCTTCCACAGAGATCTACGAAACACCAATTTGTATCCAAGTACACTGAAAGCTTGAAGCAGAAAGCTTGGCTTAGTGGAAAAACTTCATAACCACCATTGTGATACCAACTATTTCCAACTAGGGCTGCCACGATTAGTCGACTAGTCACGATTACGTCAACTATCAAAATCGTCGACGACTAATTTAATAGTCGACGCGTCGTTTGAAGCTTTGTAAGATCCCAAAAGA